TGTAAAATAACAGAAATTACAATTAGCAAACAATTAAAGTCAACCAAACTGGTCTAATACAGAAAGGGTTGAACAGAAATGACTAAACACCACCCCCTGGTGGACACAAATGGGCTGCTGCACAGGGATAGACTCCATCTTTACTTTGGGCAGCTCAGTTCACAAGGGTAGCGCCATTTTGGTCAAATAAGCGTGAATATACAGTGTCTCGTGGCTACACAAACCGCTGGAAAACTCTATAAAGGCATCACACAATGTACATAGGCAAGTGTATGATAAGTTACAACCATAGAACAAACAAATACAAGGCACTTACTTATCATTCACGCACACGCACGACACATGTTCAGTACAACAGCCCAGCTCCACCAGCGCTATCACGGTGAACCAGCGCAAACACAAACAAAGGATGGGAGGAATGTACCATCTCAGCAGTAGTTAGAGGGGGTCCGTGGAACAGTCTATATACACAAATCACAGGGGTTTTCTACAGGCAAGTTACTTTGAAGTAATTAATTATAATTACTAGTTACTTCTTCAACAAAGTAACTGAGTTACAAGATTCTAAAAGTAATTAATTACTTGAAAAGTAACTATTGCTTATGTTACGGCCCTAGCTGGGCCTCCTGAAATTGCCCTTGTGTGGGTGTGGTTTTTCTCTCCGCCTCTTCCTCTCTTGCTACACCCCTCTGTCTCTCTCTCACTCTCTTCTCTCCCCAGGACACAGCTGCTCTTGATTAACCTCGTTGGCCACCTGAATCCAGTCAGCAATCACCTCTGAGGCTATTTAAGCTGGGGGTGAGCTGTGAGCAGGGTGGTTTTTCTCTGGTGTTCCCACATTGGGTGTCGAAGGTGTTGGGAGAGAGCCTATAGTGTGGAAGCAGTGTGCAGTGTAATTGCTTCACGTGAGTAGTGTGGGCTTGTGGGCCTCGGCAGCAGTAAAACTAGCTGCTGCTAGTAACAGGGTGAGTTTGTGGGTCCCTGGAAGTGCCTCTTCGTGGTGTGGAGTTTTTTGTGGTTTGGTTGTTGTGTTCCGTGTTTTGCAACCTTTTTCCTTTTTCCAAGTGTTATTGGTAAAACGGAGTTGCCGGCTCTTTATGTTAAGATTATCTATAATAAAGGCTATTTTATTTACTAAACACACCTGTCTGTTTTCCTTTTCATTCTGTTTCCGGACCCATTTGTTACTGGTCCCCTCACTTGCACGCCTAGACCCCTTTGTGGGGGACGTAACAATGTGGGGGCTCGTCCGGAATATGAATGGAAGGAACAACAATTGAGTTTTAGTGTGTTGTTCGCCGGTGGCTTGTTTAGTTGTATTGTGTCTGCTGCGCTCTCTCTCCGGTTAGCAGAGGGGAGTGTCTAGCTGAGCATAAACTCCTCCTTCAGGCACTCATTTTTTGTTTTGTCTGTTTTATTTTCGGAATAATCCCGGGTGGGGATTAGTTCCCTGTCGGAGGTAGGCTTGTCAGTGCTTTGTGCACTTGATGCTTAGCCTTTAAAGTTGCCTCGAGCCTGGTACACTTCAGAAGCTAAGCAGGCTAAGATTTTAGAAGGTAGGTCTGGGGAGAGAGTCGGTGGTATTTTTATTTTTTGGTTAACCTGTGGCCACACATTTCCCACCTATTTTTCATTTGTGTATTGGAGGTGGTGCTGCTTTGTTGTTACTGTTAGCCTCAGGTAGTTTTAGTTTTAATGGCTACCTTTGATATTGCCGTGTTTAAGGAAAACCCTTCGCTTGTCCAGCTGGACGCCTGTAGGAAGAGGGATTTGCATGAGGTGGCATCATTTTATGGCATTTCTGTCTCCACAGCTCTGCGTAAGGCTGAGCTGAAAGCTGCTCTTGTGTCTGGCTTGGTGGAGAAAGGGATAGTGGCTGCCAGTTCTACCTGAGCATGGTGTAGCGTCTCAGCCTGTTCCCAGGTGCCAGATCAAGCTGTAGCTCCATCAGTGTCTACGCCTGTTGCTCAGTGGCTCCCTGAGGACAAGCCAATGACACTGCCTCACTTGAACCACTCTCCATAGTCATCAGTAGGTTCAAGCAGGATGCTAGGCTAGGTGTCCACCTGGCTCGTCTCCAGTTGGAAAAGGAGGATCGTGAGAGGGAGTTCCAGCTAAAGAAGGAGTTGGAGCTTAAGCGTTTAGACACAGAGCTTGCCAGAGCCAGGGAGGTTGAATTGAAAAAGGTGGAGGCGGAGACAGCTGTTAAGTTGCGACAGTTGGAACTCCAGCAGGCTTCCCTTCTCCGACTGCCTCCATTCGGTCAGGCAGACACCCATTTGATGTAGGGAAAAACAGTCGTCTGGTTCCGGTGTTCCGCGACACTGAGGTTGACAGCTACTTCGGGTGGTTTGAACGAATAGCCACAGCCTTACACTGGCCACGGGAGTCGTGGGCCATTTTGCTACAATGTAAGCTGGTAGGTAAAGCTCAGGAAGTTTGTTCCTCATTGTCAGGTGAGGACAGTCTGACTTATGACAAGCTGAAAAGTGCCATCCTTCTAGCTTATAAGCTGGTCCCAGAAGCCTATAGGCAGCGTTTCTGGGGATTAAAAATGGGACAGGGTCAATCCTACCGAGATTATGCAAGGAAGAAAAGTGTGCTTTTTGATCGGTGGTGTCGGTTCGTGAATTAATGCTGATGGAGGAATTTAAGAACTGCGTCTCCAAGCGCATCGCAGTATACCTCAGTGAACATAAGGTGTCCTCATTACAGCAGGCTGCAACACTGGCTGATGAGTTTGCCCTCATCCATAAAACCAGTGTCATTAAGAATGATCGACGCGACGCCTCAGTGAAGGTTAGTGATGTGCCAGCTGCACAGTACCCAAAGAGTGAGGTACTTGTGTCCCATCCCAAAGCAAAACGGAAGCGTTTTCTGTTTAAAGTCTGGCCATTTGATAGCAAATTGTGAGGCCTACAAACAGAAACAGTTGGTCTCGAGGGCTAGGAGTGTGCCAGCTAGCAAAGCTGATACAGGTGTGGTTTCAAGATCCAAAACAAAGCTCTGTTTCTTCTGCCACAAACCTGGCCACCTGATTGCTCACTGTTCGAAAGCCAACTCAAGGCAAAATCGATCTGCTTTCAAAAGAGTGAACTGTGGTTCGCAAACAGACAAAGTTGCCAGTCCTAGGCAACAATTGGAGCATAATTGCTCAGTGGTGTCATTTGGTGAATGTCAGAGGTCGAGTAATTCTGAGCTGCCACCTGTTGACCATCTTCCAGATGACCTACAGTGTGACAGATTGTGTGACACAACCATTCCAACCTGCACCTCTGGCTAACCAGCATGCCTTTCGCCATGACCTAGCGAAAAAGCGTCAGAAGTGTTGCTGTAAGTTCTTCTAGCTGCCTTACGGGTTCTCCATATGTGATGGCTCAAAAAACATCTGGCTGTCACTTGAGACACTATGTTGAGGGACTTGAGCCAACCCCGTGCAGTGTTTTCAACCCATCAAAAAGGTCTTGGCAGATTTGGCAGGGTATGCCTAACTGTTATTATGGTGCATGGTAGGTATATGTTTAAAGGTTGGGTAGGACGTTCTGTGACAAACCACTGGTTTGTATTTATGGGAGGGGGTGTTATGGCCCTAGCTGGGCCTCCTGAAACTGCCCTTGTGTGGGTGTGGTTTTTCTCTCCGCCTCTTCCTCTCTTGCTACACCCCTCTGTCTCTCTCTCACTCTCCTCTCTCCCCAGGACACAGCTGCTCTTGATTAGCCTCGTTGGCCACATGAATCCAGTCAGCAATCACCTCTGAGGCCATTTAAGCTGGGGGTGAGCTGTGAGCAGGGTGGTTTTTCTCTGGTGTTCCCACATTGGGTGTCGAAGGTGTTGGGAGAGATCCTATAGTGTGGAAGCGGTGTGCAGTGTAACTGCTTCACGTGAGTAGTGTGGGCTTGTGGGCCTCGGCAGCAGTAAAACTAGCTGCTGCTAGTGACAGGGGGAGCTTGTGGGCCCTTGGAAGTGCCTCCTCGTGGTGTGGAGTTTTGTTTTTTGTCTTTTTTGGTTTGTTTTTTTTGGTTTGGTTGTTGTGTTCCGTGTTTTTGCAACCTTTTTCCAAGTGTTATTGGTAAAACGACGTTGCCGGCTCTTTATGTTAAGATTATCTATAATAAAGACTATTTTATTTACTAAAAACACCTGTCTGTTTTCCTTTTCATTCTGTTTCCGGACCCATTTGTTACTGGTCCCCTCACTCGCACGCCTAGACCCCTTCGGGGGGGGCGTAACAACTTAACTTTAAAAAATGTTTAAAATGCACAAAAGGAATATAATCTTGACACAGTGAAGACTTCATATTATGGTAGGTTCTGCAAATCACGTACTGAATTATTCTGAATTTATAAACAGCGAAACACTATTCTACTGAAACTGCCATCTGAAATGTCTTATAGAAGTTATAGTATATTATCTATAAACGTACCTGTCCGCTTGTTAATTACATAATCACGTGGAGGCAAGGACCTCGCAGCACAAGCATACTCCCAACCTATTGTAAGATTGTGCTGTACATTATTATATATATAGTGTATTTTTTTTTATTAGTAAAAAACAAGAAGTCACAAGCAAAAGGAGAAAACACCATGGCACATGTTTAAACAAGGAAAGTTTATTTATCTAATAAAATAGACACAACATTTTTTTTTTCACCCAAAAAACGCATATTCAAAGCACCATATCAGCCCGATGTCACACAGTACTGTCACATGAAACAGAAGCTCTGCAGAGCGGCCAATCATAATGAAGCAGGTCATTATTTGTTCTTGATTTAAGCTGTTCTTCATATTTCTAGCCACCAGATCTCGCTAAAGAGGACAGTTTTGAAAAGCTTCGAGACGCTTCAGTACTTCGGAACGCTTCATTTGGCCATCACCAGTATTATATCTAAATCTTTCACTTTCCTGTTGCTAATAAAATTCTAATTCTTTGGTAATGATTTACTTCCAGACTAAGGCCATTACCGTTTCTAACAGTGATGTGCGCACTCCTTGCGTAGCCTCAGATTTCACTTCCTGTTTACGTTCCGTAAATGACGTCACGTCGATAAGGTTAGAGAAACCGTTTCAAAACCTAAACAGCAGAGAAGTTGAAAAATATCCCATCATTACTGAAACACGTTCCGTCTCACTTGCAGACTGGAGCACCGGTGCGAGAGCGGGACCTTCGGTTTGAGCTGTATCGCTCAGATTTAAGAACGAAGCAAGCTACCCGGGCTGCTAAGCGAAGCTAACGCTAATATTTGAAAGCTAGGTATTTGAAAACGAAAACAATACAACTTCAAGACAGTGCCCAGTTTCTTTAAGGATGGAGAGCAAATATAACCTTAAGAGTCCAGGTAAGCCTGATCCCAAAACAACTTCTACAGCTTTCAGAACCCTAGGATAAATCCTACAGCTAAAATCTAACACTTTAATGTTTCTTAATTAGCTTAACTGTTATTAGCCTCCGTCCCAATCTAAATGTTTACACTGGCACCTTTATTTGGTATTTTTTTCTGAGTTCTTTCTGTTGTGTGGGATGCTTTATTTATTTTTTTAAACTCTTCGGTATTCAGTGCAAACCATCTGTCTGTTGAAACTGTACCGGCTGGCTCTGTCCCTGCACTTTTCGTGTTGCGGAGTTCTTTGACGTTACACACGTAATTAAGGACACGTCTGCGTGTTCAGCGTTGTCGTTAGCTGCTTGTGTAATATTAGTGATCATGGGGACGATTTAATCGGCTGATTTTGAAGGTTGACTTTAAGAAACATAGCGAGCATGCTGGTGGTGTGCAACCCACAGCAATAATACGTAATGTTTATTTAAAAAAACGTTTTAAAACAGTATATGTATTTTTATGACTTTCACTTTCGTAAGAAGATTTAAATGAGTCACGGAAATGGGAATGAAAAATATTGTGCACTTTGTGCAATATACTGCAAAGTCTTTAACGCTGAATATAAATCATGTCTTATGTCTGTTGTGATTATGATAGTTGCATTTTGCGTGCATGGCTCAAAGCTGTTCTGGCAGGGTCAAAACTTGGCCAGCTGTCCAAAACCTTTTCACTGATCCCTGATAATGAGTGTTTAGAGGTGAGCCTTATAGTTTCTCAGTTTTCACTGGGACAGAAATGAACTGAAATCAGAAACATCTTTATTTGTGCCCACAAACAAGGAATTGGACTCCAGTGTTCCAGGTTAACTGGTTTTTACGTTAACTCTCTATGTTCCGCAGATCAAATGGTCTTCTCACTTTGCCAGTGTGTCTTGCGGTTTCACAAGAAAGGGCAACATCTCCAGCTCGTACAAATGCCTATGTGTCTCAACATTAGCTTCAGGCAACAATTAAATTATCTCAATTTAAAAAAAAAAGAAAAAAGAAAGAAAGTCTGCCGCTATTCTTTTTCCTCTGTCTTTCTGTAACATAAATAACAAGCTGACATTTTCCTTATGACACCACCGATCAGCTTGAAGGACCCTCAGTCATGCATGCATCCTGTTCACCTGTCAGCTGTCTAACGTCTGCTGCTGATGTAGGAAACATGCCCACATTAACTGGTGTTAGACACAGTTTAGTGGGCAGCTGCGTCCTCAACATAATGTAATGTAATGATCTGGGTTAAAAATGAGATTTAAAACGAGGAGTGATGAACACTGAGATAACTACAGAGCACTTCATAAGCGAACTTGTTGCTTTAATGAGAATTTGTTCTGCCACCGATTTGATCAAATGGACTAAATAGCATCCTCTCAAGATGTGAGTATGTTCAGGAAACTCACCCAGGTTTCCTAATAGACACATAGGTAATAGGTAATAGACACAGGCAATTGATGGTTATTTTGAAAAAGAAACCCTCTTTAAATCTCCACAATGCTGAGTAAGTGTATTTGTAATGTTTTAATACATCAGCAGGTTGTGGCATGAAGTGCTAAATGCACTTGTAAATGACCATTTCTGTGAAACTTTGGTTATTATGTTGATGGGTTTTCATGAATGGTAGGATGATCCATTGCAATGAATTATGGGACAGCATTGTTTCTTCTCCCTTCACAACAAATGACTGTAGAAAAGATGCATGACCTGGCTGCACTTCCTTCCATAGTACAAAAATGAAGTCAAAATTTCCCACTTGTGGGAGCTGCCGTATTGCACGTTTGGAGTCAGAGTCTGTGCAGTAGTGACTCAGGGTGGAATAGCTGTATCACCTGCTGGACGTGACCGTGAACACGCCCCCCTTCACTTTTTACGTAGCCCATCTTCTCCAGGTTATCTGCTGATGGGTTTACTGCGACTAACGACTCGTTAAATTAAATACAACCACAAAGTTTTGTTAGTATAAGCTCTAATGAAGTGTTATTTTTAGCTGGTGAACTGGTGACTCACTGGACTGACAAGCTGGAGTCAAACGCACTGTTTATATATTTACTTTTTCCTCCCTCGTCTCCTCATCGGCCGGGTATACAGAGCGATGCAGTCAACTTGCAAAGCAGTCCACGAGATGCAATCGGCTGTATTTTATGCAATAAAATGGTGTCGTCTTTGTCCCAAGCACACCCAAACAGTTTAAAATATGTGGTTGCTCCATCACACCGCAAACATAACCGGGTTTCTCACTATAGAATGATCAGGAATCCTGGCATCCATCAGCGTGTACATAGAAACAAAAATCTCCACATCAGTCTTGTTTGCTTACATTTCTGTACCGTCATAAGATGGTACTAAACATGCTCTAAATCTTTTAAACAATTAGAGCGTTAAACCTTTGACGGTTTTTGAGAGCAGGTCTTTATACCTGTAGCGCTTTAGGTCTCCTTTTTTAGCTAAATGCTATAATAGTAGTGACAGCGGTAGACGTGCGCACAGTCTGGAGATGCTTTTTCTTTTCATTCTCTTGTCTATGCCTTTCACGTCTTTGGTGTTAGCTTGTTATTATGTAACAGTGTCTCTTTTTATCCCTTTGGACCTGGTGTGAGTCATTCCTAGTGGCAAATAGTCAACATTTGTGTTGCATAAGATGATTTGGCATATAAGGATTATCACCTTGGGCCTGTTACTGGACTTCTGCAGAGACAGTTGTGTGGGAAAGGCTTTTCTTGTCATCTCTTCCTACTATGGGGGTAGTTGTAGTTCTGGAGGTAGAGCAGGTTATTTACTAAACGGAAGGTTGGTGGTTCAATCCCTGGCTGCTCCATTGTGCATGGCAAATCTGCTTGGAGTATATATATATATATATATCTGCCTTCAAACATGAACTTGAGCTGCATCCCAGTAGTAATCCAGGATTTAATACAATGTCAGTTCGCCCTTTGTGGCTCTAACTGCTTCAACTCTTCTTTGGCAAATGTTTAGCTGGCTTAAGCACATTTACTCAGGGCCTTATTGATGTGATATTCTTCTGCTGCCACGGCTGTGTGTCTGTGAAAAAGGCGTTTGCTCTGTGTTGTGGTGTCCTGATGACACACAATTTCACGAGACTCAAACCTTAAATACTGATTCATAGACATTGTCCCCCATTAATGATGGACTTTCTAAGTCTATGAAAACTAGCTTGTTATTTTTCATATTCTCCGCAAGTCAAAGTAAACAGTTTTTAAAGGTGAAATATAAAAGTAAAATCAGATGTAGTCATTTATACATTTGACTCCAGACGGCTGATAAATTTGCAAGAAAGAAAGATTAGGTCATTGTGTGTAGAGTTTTGAGGTGAAAAATGAATTGAATCGGTTTAGGAATAAGGGTGTAACATGACAAAACATGGTACAAGTGAAGTGGTGTAAATGCTTTACAGATGTACTGTAGCTTTCCGTGCAGGTGGTAACCTTTTTTTTCCTTTTTCTTTATTTCTTTTGATGGAAAGCGGTGAAGAGGCTGATGAAGGAGGCTGCTGAACTGAGAGATCCCACAGAGCACTATCATGCCCAACCACTAGAAGTAAGTTTGGCATTTTTATGCTATTACTTTACTCTATAGTCTAACAATGCATGACAATGAAAATATAAGCAGGCAATGCAGCTACTTTTACGCTACTTTTACACTACTAGGTACTACTAGTTTTGATAGCCTTCAAGTTACAGTGTGTAAAATTTTCACCTATAGATATCAGTTGCAGTTTGTAGTGAGCTTGACTGCAGGTCAAAATTGGTGTGAAATCAAAGACGTGACCTGGGATTTTCAAACTGATAGAATATGGTTATTAAAGTTCTCCGAATTCTCTTTGAATTTTGTGACCTCAAGGTCAGAAGTCAAGTTTTCTGAAAATCTTTTATATAAGATAACCCATACTTTTAGGCCTTTTAAATCTCACTATATATCCCTGTCTTGTCTCAGCTGGGGTCCTCATTTAGTGTCACAATCCTCAAGCTAATACAAACACAAACACACTCCAGTAAGTTCATTGGATTTAATACTTAGTTTCACTTTCATAAGTGATAGATATACGCTGGCTATGACTTCTGAAAATATTTGTCTAGTGGTCAATAGAGATGTTTAGCTCTGCAAGTCACTTTTTATTTCTTAGCATATTTTTTTCTTATTTCAAATCAGCTGATAATATCAGATAATCAGCTGTATAAAGCCCTCTTGTTCCACAGTTGCGATAGGGATCATGTCTTTAGTGATATAATAGGCTACTGTGGCTTTAAGATGGTTTGTTTCGGGGCAGGAGGCTGGGAAGACGTCGCGGTCTGGGATACAGCACGCAGGTTCGAGCACTGTGGCACTGTTGTAAATGGTGAAAATGATTGGTAGAGCTCGAACCTTTTGTCGGGACGCTTTTTCGTCATTCTCTACAGAATACACTATTCTGCTGCTCATCTGACACTTTGAATCCAAACCATCTCCAAATATTTGAGCCGTTGTTTTTCTTTTTACCAACCAGCTACTCTGCGATAGCTACTGTGTCCATCTGGTCGCTGCCTGCAGGTGAAGCGATGGGCGAGTTGTGTTCAGTGAGAAATAGAGGCGAGGCAGAGTGACGTGTAGAGACAAGCCTGGATGAGAGAGACTGGCTCCACAAGTATAATTATAGCGAACGTAGACTATATCGATATAAACGATAGTGTCACATCATATATGTCGTATCAAAGTATATGGATTTTTTTTTTTTAAAACTTGATATTTCACCCAGTCCTACCTTCTGTTGTCTTCTCAGACAGAAATATGTTCTTAAAATTAGGGCTGGGCCATATCACACCGTTCACGGTAATACCGGTATAATGTTGGGCAACGATAAGAAAATGAAATATCGTGATAGAATATGGGTAAAACGTGCATGCGCAGTGCCTTTGTTTTCATACGCACATGGCGGAAAAAGCATGGCGGCGACGGAGAATGAGAAGGGCGAAAGCGGATCGTTGAATGAAACAGATGAACCAGAATTGGTTTGTAAAAATGCTGCAACTTCAGTGGTGTGGAACTGGTTTAGCTTTCGACCGTCAGATACACAACAAAGCACTATTTTTGGTAGAGCATGCTAGCGGGCCGTCGTTGTTGCTGTGTTTTTTGGAAAATACGGCGCACTTTAAATCAATCCTTTGATTTTTCTGAAAATCGACAGTGTCCTTTATAATGCTGTGTGCCTTATGTATGAATTCTGGTTGTGTTTACTGACCTCGAAACGATTTTATGTACACGGCGCTCGAAAATCTGTCAAACGTTTTAGTACGACTTTGCTAAGCTACGAACCCGCACCGCTTGATGGGTTGTCGGAGCATTACGGCTGTCGTAGGCAGGAGCCTGGCGGAGTGATACGTACTGCGCTTCAACATAATGTTACCGTATTGTGTGTATAACCTCTTTTTAAGTTTTGTGGGTATTATACATGGTTATGCTGAGGATATGTCGGCCTTTTGGTTAAACTGTCAGCAAGGAATTTCCATTTCCACTGTTAATTTTTTATATAACTTTAATGCACTTAAAAAAACAGCTGCTTGTTTAAGTGAAAATACATTGATTTTTTTTTTCTGCACCCATAAAGTTGTGGAGTTGTAAAGTGTTTTGTCTAGTGTCAATTATATCGTCAGCTATGTCGTTATCGCAAATTTTCAAATATATATCGTGATAAATATTTTTGGTCATATTGCCCTGCTCTACTTAAAATGATATTTCCTTCTTTCTGCAGGACAATCTCTTTGAGTGGCACTTTTCTGTTCGTGGTCCTCCAGACTCTGATTTTGATGGTGGGGTTTACCACGGCAGGATCATACTTCCCCCAGAATACCCCATGAAACCTCCCAGCATCATCCTACTCACAGTAAGATGCAGATGAAGATCACATCTTAGCTGCATTTGATTATTCTCCTGATGCAGCAGATAATCAAAAAGCTGAAAAAGCAATTTTTAAGAACAGACAACTTTCCCAACCTTATACACTGACCATGTTTGGCTTCACACATAACTGCAAGGCACATTCTCTAAAATGAACATTATCAAAAATAAATATCGTTCTAGGCTTACCAGTGAGCCTGATTCCATTCAAGCCCAGGCTTACACACCTGGAGGAACAAGCTAGAGCTCAATTTTCTTTTGAAACAGTCAGGGAGTTGAACGTAATAGGGGAAGAAAGTGAGCTTCCAGAACAGTTCAGGTGTTAAGATTAAGGATGTTCCTGGCCAGGAAAAAATGAGACTGACTGACTAGTCTAAAACTATGAAGTTAAATTTTAAAATCGTTTCATGGGAATTTCAAAAACTAATAACAAAGGCATTGTAAACAATTTACCCCATTCCTCAATAATGAATCATGCCGCTTAACTTTTCGTTTTGTGCGTTATCAACATTACACGTACATTATATTCAGCATTATACAACATTATACTTTAAACAGTTAAAACAAACCTGCTGCAACAGGGAAGCCCAAACCTCCCTCTTGCTGCCACCTCCAGCTTATCCGAGGAAACTTCAAGCCTTTCCCGGGCCGGCCGATAGATGTCGTAAGATCTAGAAATTTTTAACAATTAGATTCAATTGCTAGTAAGTAAGGTTGGGTGACTGGACGAATATATTGCCCATCGATGATAGACTGAGCCTTTCACCGATCAATTTTACAAGACCAATTTATTTATTTGCCCGTGAGTAAGTTTGCTGATAATGTTGACTGAAGCTAGGGAGAAGTAGTCAACAGAAAAAAGTCTGCGCCTGCGTGAGTATATTGCCTTTTGTCGGTTATTGGACCGGCGAATGTCAGTTGGAAAATTTTTACATATCGCCCAACCTTAGCAGAAAGTCTGGTACCGACTAGTGACAACAGCGACCATTAATCAGCTTGTCAACTAGTCACGCACATCTCTAGACCTGTTGTGTAGCTGAAACATTAGTAGAGTCAAGATGTAAAAGAGAACGAGGGACATTCAAGCTTCTCCCTTTATTGTGTTTTTCACTTTAATTAAAACATTGAATGCATAACTTTTAACATTTCATTTTTTTCTCTTATTTTGAAATCCAGCTCTAATTTTACTTATAAAACAGGGGGAATTGATTAACTCGCACACACAGTGGGGGAAATTTAATTTTATCCCATGCTGAATTCCTCTCATACAAAAAAGAATAGTTTCATATTTTAATGGTAATTTCATTTTAATGTTGAGAGATGGAATGTCAGTGAAAAAAATAAAAAAAAATAATAAAAAAGTTGAAAATGGATTTGAATGTCATTGAGTGAAATAAGTATTTGACCACCAACCAGAATCCTCACGTTGGGAGGAAGTCCTGTGGTCAGGAAACCCAAATCAAGGCTGGACTAGGCTGCATGACCATAAGGAAGGCGCTTATTGAAAACAGATCAAATATTTATTTCAGTCAGTTATAGATCTTTATGTAATGTGTGGATTTTTGTTTATATGAAACAACCACAAAAATGAGACTGTCCAAATTTAAAAATTCACAAGATCAAATCATCCTTTTCCCACTATATTCAGGCAGCTGTGCAGTACATGTTTTAATGACTGATAAAAGTTAGAATTTGTTGTGAGAAAACTGTGTTCACATGTTTTCACTGACACCAGCTACTATTTTATTGGTTCTTTGTTGAACCAAATTTTTTTTAATTAGATTTTTGTTTGAAAGCTCTGACATTTGCACAGTAGGAGCCTCATTTTTTATTTGTTAATACTGCTCAAAACTTTTATGTCAGTTTGTGTTCATAGGTTTTGAGAAATATGTGCTGTGCCTCTGTTTTCCCATACGTACCAATACCACTTTCTTTTTATTCCCTTCCATTAGCCAAATGGGAGATTTGAAGTTGGGAAGAAGATTTGTCTGAGCATCTCTGGCCACCATCCTGAGACCTGGCAGCCCTCTTGGAGTAGTAAGTATAGGAGACAAGATCCCAGTTCTCCATACGTATCTTATTCCCTGAGGTAATCTAAGTATTTAGAGGTTGCATTTGGAAATAAGCTCCACAAAAGAATTTGTAGAGCTGTGAAATGAGATGTGTAGGAAAAGTACTGAAATGATCATCACTAATTAATAGCACTGATGTCTTGCATGCAAAACCATCTAGGTAAGCACTGATGCACTAATGCTGTTAATTGGTACAGAAGTATTCCTGATTTCCTATTTTTGTTGTATGTTTGTCACACTTCAAAGTTTCAGATCATCAACCAATTTTAAATGTTAGACAAAGATGACACGAGTAAACACACCATGCAGTTTCTAAATGAAGGTGTTCATTATTAAGGAGGAAACAGAGGAACCCACCCGAGGGATTAATAAAGTTCTATCTTATCTTATCTTATCTTATCTTAACAATCCAAACCTACATGGCCCTGTGTGAGAAAGTGATTACCCGCTAAACCGAATAACTGTTTGTGCCACTTTTAGCAGCAACATCTGCAATCAAGCGTTTTCAGTAACTGGCAATGATTCTTTTACAGCTCTGCCCACTCATCTTTGCTGAATTGTCATAGTTCAGCCACATTGGAGGGTTTTCGAAAATACACCTTCTTTTTAAGGTCATGCAACTGCTCCTCAGTCAGATTCAGGTCAAAACTTTGAATGGGCCACTCCAAGGTCTTCACTGTGTCAGTAAGTCATTCAGAGATGGACTAGCTGGTCTGTTTTGGATCATTGCCTTGCTGCAGAACCCAGTTGCGCTTCAGCATTTTCTCAAGGTCATCAAGGCCGAGTTACATGAACAAATTGGAGTCTATTAGATAGATATGATAGAAACCACCACAGTGCAGTACCTGTAAAACCTACAGCATGCTCTAATCATTCTAAGAGAATATTATGGTCTACAGCACAGGTCTCGGACTCCAGGCCTCTAGGTGCCGGTGTCCTGCAGGTTTTAGATGTGTCCTTGATCTAACACAGCTGATTCAAATGGCTAAATTTCCTCCTCAACATGTCCTGAAGTTCTCCAGAGACCTGGTATTGAACTAATCATTTGATTGTGTTGACCCAGGGTGAGATCTGGAACCTGCAGGACACCGGCCCTCGAGGCCTGGAGTTTGACACCCCTGGTCTACAGTATCTAATGCTGCACTGAGGTCTAGCAGGACAAGCACAGAGACGAGTCCACTGTCAGAGGCCCTTATGATGATACATGTGTTTGGTTTTGCTGCTGGCGGCTGCAGTTTGTCCTGATGTGGTGTAGTGCAGTGTAGTTTTTGTGTGTGTCGGTGGCATATTGACTGCTGCTCTTATCTATCCGATCTTCACTGACGGGTCAAGATACCTCATTCTCCTGTTTCCGCGTTTACCACCAGTTCCCCTGTCATTCAGCAAAAGTCAGACATTTTTCTTCATTTGAACTACAGCTGATTAGAGTCAGGTATAAGACCTTTTTTTTTTTTTTTTTATTGTCCTGTGGTGTATCGTCCATTTTTAAAGGCATTCAGTGACTTCTTATCCTCCACTATAAAGCTGCCCAGACTCCTTATAGTTGGAGATTTTAACATTAACGTAGACGACAACTCTGACCTCTTTGCCAGAAGCTTTACTGCCATCATGGATTCTTTTCATTTCACTCAGTTTGTGTCTAGTCCCACACATACCAAAGGACACAAACTGGACCTTGTTTTTACTTTGGGTTTAAATATTGATTCTATTTGTTCTGAGGACACTTTTACTTCTGATCATCACTGTATTATTTTTAACTTGTCTGTCTCCTGCTTGCCGTGTGGTCAGCACTCACACCTTAAATTCCTCTACTGCTGAGAAATTCTCTGATTCTTTTAAGTTGTTCTTATCCCCTTATGATCTTACAACAAATCTTTTTAATAATTACTCTCTTACTGAAATTAGCTCGTTTCCAAATTCTCCCTTCGCATAAATGAAACCATTTGCTGCTTAAAGCGTTCTTGTCGATAAGCTGAGCACATGTTCTAATAAAGGATCTTTCTTTCAACCGTTCAGTTAGAGATGCGAGGGTTGCCTATTTCTCACATCTGGTTACAAAGAGCAGAGGTAATCCTCAGGTGTTATTTGATGCCATTAGTAATATTGTTACTCCTGCTCCACCTGCCGCCCCAATCTCTTCAAATAAAGGTGAAAATTTTCTGTCTTGATAGAAAAATTGATAATAGAATGATAATAGAAGAATTACTATTTCTCCATCAACATTTACATTGTCTGTTCCTGCTCTAGCTCGGCCTGTTATTTTAGAGTTGAAAACTAAAGTAGACTTTTGGCCCCCAGACTCTGGAACTCTCTCCCCCTGAGTTTGAGATCTGTGCACTCGGTGCTTTCCTCTAAGAAAACTAAAATTAAAATTTTTATAGACTTGCATTTAGTGTCCTTAGATTGCTTGCTTGCCAAAGTCAGTATGTTAAATGCAAAGAGATCTTTTTCAGTCCTGCATGAACTTTGGATGTGAAACATTTGTTTTCTAATATAAATGACAAAGCTCACTCCAGTCCTCTGCTTCTGGCCTAAACAGTATTGCACTTTGGGTGCTGGTGTTGCTAGATGAACTTGTGCTGAGAGTCTTGATATAAGAGTATTTTTATACACCTCGAGAGTAAAAACGAATAATTTATTACGACCAAGAACTCCTCATTAGTTTGTAACTGGTGTTTGGTCTGTTTGCTGAGTTCTGCTTTCATGTTACTTCTCAGCATGGAACTTTAATCAGTGGAAACTCAGTGGGAGATGCTGCATCTTCCTCAAAGCATTTCTCTCTACTGCCTCCCTCTCTTAAGTACGTAAGAAGAGTTTCAAATCAATAACAGAATTAAATCAAAGACAAAGGTTGCTCCTAACTTCTTTTTACCAACAAACTGTAGGTCACATGGCCAGCTATGCCTCAGAGATTTGACTTCCCCTGCTGGGTTTTTAAAGCGTTGGCTCTAAGTTGTGTCTGATCCTGTTTGCAATGACCACAGGAGGCCTGACTTGATAATTGAACAGTGCTTCCGATTGTCACAGACAGGCCAACTGTAGGGTTCCAGGTTTATGCTCACTACTCTTGGTGGCTGCTTTAGTTCATATGCTATGCCTGCATATTTAATAAAGCATGCTTCAGATAATTAAACATTCCCTCTGATGTCTCTTTGGGAAATATTGAAATTTGTATTTTTTACATAGGCTGATTTATTTAGATATGGTATCGTTACTCATGAATATCTTGACAAATGTTTTTCCTCAAGCTGTTTTCTGGTCTGTCTGTACTTAATACTGTTTATTTTTTAAAATGTAAGCTGAAGTGTATTGTGTGTATTGTTTATAGCCCAGCTATTTTCACAAACTTTGGTCATAGGTTATACACACAGTTAGAGATAGCAGGTCATCAGAACTGAAGTATGACAGTTTGCACCAAAGTGACTTATTTCAATAGACTGGCTGCTGTTAAAATTTGCTGCTTCTTCTTGTCTTCGTCCTAGTGTCTGTTTCAGTCACTTAATTGAAATTTCTCTCTATTTCTCTATTGATCGATAGAGCAATAGATCATCGCCGTTTACGAATAGGAACATAGAAAAGAGAGACCTAATGTTTAACAATCCATATTTAACAGCTATACTCTGATGCAGTTGTGGATACTATATTGTTCTTTCTTTGTGATTTTTTTTTTTATTTATTTATTTATTTTAATTTAAAATGGTGTTTTTGATGATTTTTCTTTTGGTTTTTTTGGTGGTCTGCGAGCAGATAGCCACTAAGAAGAAGGGGTTTTGGGGGGATTACAGGAGGAGAGAAGTTGCAGAGAGGTGTGTAAGACTGGTCCCAAGTCTCAGTCACATTTTGGGGGGTTTAATAAATTTCACCAGATGTCTAGAAATGGGAGCTGCACCATTCAAAGTGGGATGGATGTCGTCTCTCCTAATAAGATCAGGTTTTCCCCCAGAAAGTTTCCCAATTATCTAAAAAGCCCACGTGATTTTTTTGGACACCACTCAGATAGCCAGCAATTTGAGGACGAAATGCATCACTCCAGGTCCGACTGGGCAGAGGACCAGAGAAAACAACATAGTTTTTGCCAAAGTCACACACTGTTTCAATATAATTATAGTGAACTCTGACTGACACAACCTGATGTTATTGCTGCTGATATGAATGATATTTTTTTACCAAATCTACATTTACAAGCAAGATGTATTTAATGAACAGACAGTTCAGAGAATAAACATAAACTGGACAATTAACAGGTTGTCAAGGCCAAGTGAGGCTAACAATGAATATCAATAGTCAATCAGCTTTATTCGCCACATGCAGGTTGTCCTGCAGTGGAATGGACCCGCCCCCCGACCTTACGTTGTGTTTCTCATTCACTTGCTATTTTCTCCTCATTGTTTACACACTCTCTCTCTCTTTTTTTTCTTCCAGTTCGCACTGCCCTCATAGCTATAATTGGATTCATGCCAACAAAAGGAGAGGGTGCCATTGGATCTCTCGATTATACTCCTGAAGAGAGGAGAGCCCTTGCCAAAAAGTAAGATTTAGTAGATACAAAAATCTTTTCAGTCTTTCCAGTTGAGAATGGTAATAAGGTGAGTATGGCATATTGCATCTTCTTGTATGAAATAATGTTACAACCTCAAGTAGTAGGCAAGCAGGAAGTGGATATGATCCTAATAAAATATTCAAACAGCCAAGTCCGTTCAAACATGTAATAGAAACACCTGAGCCTGAGTCGACATGCCTCATTGCTAATTACTGGTCTATCACAATTTGAAAAGAACATTTCCAGGCCAGTCCTGGTATTGAAAGACAAGTTCATCGTTGCTGTGTGCTGCCAGTCTCCAGAGGACGCGTGAGCAGACACTCAATTTTCATATCACATTGTGTTTTCCTCAGAGAAAATGGTACAAAGCCAGCGATGGTGAAGTTCAAGCTAAAATTGCTCTTCTATTAGCAGATGAGATGAGTTCTTGATCATCCGGTTATTTCATTAGTTCATGGAGATGAAATGGATAGGAAAACACACTGTGTGATGAATACAAGGCTGCTTGTCTCCATGATGGCACCTCCACCCCTTCCCAACACACACACACACACACACACACACACACACACACACACACACACACACACACACACACACAGTGGCTGAGGCAGCACTAAAATGTTCATTTATTAAATGAAAATGTAAAATATTACTATTTAAGTACTTTACATTTACACTCATTTTGATTACATATTCAGAAATGACAACATCTGATCTTTAGACACTTTGTGAAAAGACAGTCTGCATGTAAGGACAGTTTGAAAAATAGTAAGGAAACTTAAACCTTAAACTTCAACCAGCTAGTTAATAACATAATGTTTGCTGGATTTAGTCCCTGTTCAGATACTAGCATCTCTGCAAACATAATGAACAAAAACCAATCTATCACAAATACCTAATAAAGATGGCATCTGGGTGCAAGTCAGCAGCAGCTCAGATTTGCACTTTAGTCACTGATAACATAAGACAGAAAAACCCTTTGACATCTAATGAAATAATGAACACTTCTACGTAGGGATGCCATTGTTAAAGTCTTAAGTCAAGAGATGCCTTTATAAATGTAAATGCAGAGGGTTTAGAACAAGTTACAAACCATTGGTTAAAGTAAAGTACAAGAACAGTAGAGGAATGGCATCATTAAACATCTTATTTATAGTTTAAAGAATCAAGATGGATCCTTTCATTTTCTTGTTCTATCAACTTGAGTTCACAGTACTAACTCCTCTGCCAGTATTTTCTTGAAAGTAGTGCTGGACAGTACTGCTGTGAAAGAAGTATCAAAGAATACACAAGAGCACTCAGAGCGTAATTCCTCCTGAAGGGCAAGAGCTATACTAAAACTTTGTTTTATGAT